GAGACAAAAAATTATGTACATATATATACATGGAGGAGAGAGAGAGAGAGAGAGAGAGAGAGAGAGAGAGAGAGAGAGAAAGAGAGAGAGAGACAAACACACACACATACGTACACACACGCACATATACACGCACCTACATACAGACACACATAATGGCACATATATGCACACATATATAAGCAAATGCGGACTCGAAAAAGAAAGCTCATAGACACTTAGATTCACAAGAGCGGAAATTTTTTACCGAATTAATTGCATCTCTAATCATCTGTATTTTCACATTTATTCATTCTCCTCTTTTCTATTTTTCGCTTTCTCTCGCTTTCTCTCGCTTTCTCTCTTTCTCTCCCTCTCTCTTTTTCCATATTTTGTCCATCCATCTTACGGTTATTTCGTTTTTATATTTTTCCCTAAGCCTACTCAATGTTTTTTCGCTCTTTCAACTTTTTTAATTTCTCCACTTCCTTTTCCTTTTGTACTTTCTCTCTATCTCTATTTTATTGTTTTTTAAACTTTACGTTTCGTCGCCATCTTGATTTGTTCCTCCTTCCTTCTAGCGCCATCTTTCTTTCCATCTCATTCCTTTCTTCATTCGCTCCATCTATTATGTTTGTTCATTGCTTTATATTTTTTTTTGTATTTCCGTTCTATTAAATTTTGTCATCTTGTTTTTTATGTAGAGTCTTTTTTTTTATCTTGGATGAATTAAGTTTTTTTTTTGTTTACCGCTTTTTTCGCAATTTGTGAGTAAGTTTGCGCTTTTTGTATTGCGGCCAATGATGATGGTGAAGATGACGATGACGATGATGATGGTGATGATAATAATGATGACGATTGTGATGATGGCGGCAATGATGACGATGATAACGATGATGATAGTAGATTCATTCATTCATCGGTTCATTGATTGATTGATTGATTGATTGATTGATTGATTGATTGATTGATTGATTGATTGATTGATTGATTGATTGATTGATTGATTGATTGATTGATTGATTGATTGATTGATTGATTGATTGATTGATTGATTGATTGATTGATTGATTGATTGATTGATTGATTGATTGATTGATTGATTGATTGATTGATTGATTGATTGATTGATTCATTCATTCATTCATTCATTCATTCATTCCTTCATTCATTCATTCATTCCTTCATTCATTCATTCATTCATTCATTTTTTCACTCACTCCACTGTCTGATAACGCATTTAAATATCTAGTTAACAATGCATTCGGACAAGCAAACTTCAACTCTAGCGACAACATCTAATCCAAATTTTTTCTTTCAAATTGAATTGTCGTCAAAATTTTAAAATAGTATTTTCTTCAGATTTAAAAAAAATAATCTCTCAAAAATATAACTGAATAAATAAATATGGATAATAAGTAATAATAATAATAATAATTAAAAATAATAATAATAATATTTTCATTATAATTATTAGTTCTTTTGAAATCTAATTACAGAGGAAAATTATCTGGCGTATGATTTTGTTCACGCTTTTGTGCTTGCACCAGCACGCAAAACATAATTTTTCTCATCTAAAAACGTTTGTCAACAGTTTTTTTTTCTTCTTCTTCTTCTTTTTCTTTTTCTTCTTCTTTCTCCATCTTTCTATCATTGTCATCCGACATCATTATCAGCATCACCGCCATCATCATCATCATCGTCGTCGTTGTCATTATCATACATCATCATCTTTGTCGTTCATGTTACTGTTTAAAGGATTTGTGGAAAAAATGCCTATGTAGGTACTCCAACTAACTCAAAACATAAAGTAAATTTTTTTTCAATCTCTTAACTCTCCCTTTTCCTCTCTCGTTCTTTTTCATTCTATATTTTTTTAGTCATTTGTTGTAATTGGTATTGGTCTCTATCACTCTCTCTCTTTCTTTCTCTCTCTCTTTCTCTCTCTCTCTCTTTCTTTTTCCTTATCTTTCTTTCTCTTTCTCTATTTCTCTCCCCTTTTTCTCTGTCCACACGTTTCCAATGATGTTGGCATGACACATGTGCTGGGCGGTTTTGTTCGATCGTTGGTAATTCTCTCTTTTCTCTCTCTCTCTCTCTTTCTTTCTCTCTCTCTTTTACATCGTCATCGTTGTCTTCGTCGTCGTCACCATCATCGTAATCATGGTTGTGATGATGGAAAAATGAAAAGATGAGAGAATGAGAAAATAGAAAGTAGGACGATGGGTTCCTCCTGCCATCAATTATTCCACACTAGCGCACCAAATCTCACTGAACGATTATGATAATGATGAAGTAATAATGATGGTGATGATGATGATGGTGATGATGATGATGACAATGATGACGATGGTGGTGATGATGATGATGGTGACGATGGTGATGAGTGTTTATTGGCGTGTGTAATGTATGTTTGTGTATTTATTTTCGTTTGTTTGTTTGTATGTATGTATGTGTGTGTGTGTGTGTGTGTGTGTCTTTTTTTTATCTGATTGTATGCTTGTGTACACGTAGGCACGTGTACATAGGCATGTACAAACTCCAAACAGACCGTATATTTTGTTGGCGTTTCAAATTATTTCAGAGTCATCTTCTTGTATTATTTATTGCTATTCAAATATTCATTCATCCTATTTTTAGCTTTTTCTATATAACATTCTCTATCATTACTCATTTGTGTGAAATGATTAGCTATGTAGATTGCCGATTTCATTAATTTTAATCTTTCTATAATAATTTTGATTTCAATATATCATTATTATTATTTTAAACTAATTTCATTATTATTGATTATTGCCATTATAGATGTTATTTGATTGAATGAAAGCAGTGTTCCCATCATTGTTGTTGTTGCTGCTGTTGTTGCTGTTGTTGTTACTGTTGTTGTTGTTGTTGCTGTTGTTGTTGTTGTTGTTGCTGCTGCTGCTGCTGTTGTTGTTGTTGTTGCTGCTGCTGCTGTTGTTGTTGTTGTTGTTGCTGTTGTTGTTGTTGTTGTTGTTGCTGCTGCTGTTGTTGTTAAATTTTTAATTGACATCCGGTAAAGTGTGTGGAATTTTTTAACGAGGTAACGCATAGAATTGTGTCGGCGACATTACCGTGATCGCTTTCTGTCAAGGTCATCATCATCGTCATCATTGTCGTCATCATCATCATCATCGTCATTATCTTCATCAT